TGGGTCCACCCCCATCGACCCGGGGTGGTATTGCAAGCATGTCAGCGCACCTCATTTTGGCCACTTTTGAGCTGGGACCCGCCCCCACTGGCCATTACGCAGCCTTCTACTGAGACAACCCAACACAGTACACATATGTCCCACCCCTTTGTTAGGATTTAGCAGACAGAGACGGATCGTGGTGTGCCAAACTCTGGAAGTTTATTTAAGTTTCTCTCAAGTTCCACTGGTTTACTCTGTTTCTTTCCCTCAGACAGAATAAAGGCAGTACACAGTTTATATAGTCATTGTCACGTCACACATCGAAAGACATACGTGTCACAAAGAGACAGTCAAATCATAGTCATAACATGGAGTCCTTGTAGAGTCCTTGTACAGTCCTGCACGTAGGCCATATTGCTATCTAATACTAATACCTTAATAGAAAGCTTTCCTCAATAGCTACACGGACATCTCAATCTTTCGGCCAGGAAGTACAGTGCCTTGAACCTTTCAACATTTCGCCACATTTCAGGCTTCAAACATAAAGATATAAAATATTTATTTTTTGTCAAGAATCAACAACAAGTGGGACACAATCGTGAAGTGGAACGACATTTATTGGATAATTTAAACTTTTTTAACAAATAAAAAACTGAAAAGTGGAATAGTGCAATATTATTCGGCCCCCTTGCGCTAATACTTTGTAGCGCCACCTTTTGCTGCAATTACAGCTGCAAGTCGCTTGGGGTATGTCTCTATCAGTTTTGCACATCGAGAGACTGGAATTCTTTCCAATTCTTCCTTGCAAAACAGCTCGAGCTCAGTGAGGTTGGATGGAGAGCGTTTGTGAACAGCAGTCTTCAGCTCTTTCCACAGATTCTCGATTGGATTCAGGTCTGGACTTTGACTTGGCCATTCTAACACCTGGATACGTCTATTTGTGAACCATTCCATTGTAGATTTGGCTTTATGTTTTGGATCATTGGCCTGTTGGAAGATAAATCTCCGTCCCAGTCTCAGGTCTTTTGCAGACTCCAACAGGTTTTCTTCCAGAATGGTCCTGTATTTGGCTCCTTCCATCTTCCCATCAATTTTAGCCATCTTCCCTGTCCCTGCTGAAGAAAAGCAGGCCCAAACCATGATGCTGCCACCACCATGTTTGACAGTGGGGATGGTGTGTTCAGGCTGATGAGCTGTGTTGCTTTTACGCCAAACAAATCGTTTTGCATTGTGGCCAAAAAGTTCGATTTTGGTTTCATCTGACCGGAGCACCTTCTTCCACATGTTTGGTGTGTCTCCCAGGTGGCTTGTGGCAAACTGTAAAGGAGACTTTTAATGGATATCTTTGAGAAATGGCTTTCTTCTTGCCACTCTTCCATAAAGGCCAGATTTGTGCAGTGCACGACTGATTGTTGTCCTATGGACAGACTCTCCCACCTCAGCTGTAGTTATCTGCAGTTCATCCAGAGTGATCATGGGCCTCTTGTCTGCATCTCTGATCAGTCTTCTCCTTGTTTGAGATGGAAGTTTGGAGGGACGGCTGGGTCTTGGTAGATTTGCAGTGGTCTGATACTCCTTTCATTTCAATATAATTGCTTGCACAGTGCTCCTTGAGATGTTTAAAGCTTGGGAAATCTTTTTGTATCCAAATCCGGCTTTAAACTTCTCCACAACAGTATCTCGGACCTTCCTGGTGTGTTCCTTCGTCTTCAATCAATCAATCAATCAAATTTTATTTATAAAGCGCTTTTCATACAAAAGATGCAACACAAAGTGCTTTACAGTTTGGTTAAAAACAATCCTGCCGACCCAAGACCCCTCCCCCAGACCACCCAACAGACCCACCCCAAACCACAGACAAACACACACACGCTCCCATGAACACTCATATACACACACACCAGTAAAACAATAAAACCATGATGAGAGACTTGGCAGGGTTCAGATGCAACCAGTTGAAAAAGCGTCATCCAAGGAGCCGTCTGCACCAGGAGCAGAGAGCCGCCCGTAGCCACAGGGGACGACACAGGACCCAGAGGAGACACGAAACCGAGGCCCCAGGCCCCCACCAGGCCCAAGAGTCCGACCCCCGCAGCCACACCGACCACTGCTCCCAGTGCAGAGGGCTCCTCCAGAGGAAACACTGGGTACTCTAAAAACAATACAATAAGTAAAACAGTAAAATGTGAGACTAAAAGGAACACACAATACATGAATAATAGCAATAGCAATATAATAAATAATAAAAGATAAATAGAATGGAATAATAAAAACTAATCAAAAGCTATTCTAAAAAGGTGTGTCTTGAGCCTACTTTTAAAAATATGAATGTTCTCTGCGGCCCTGAGCTCCTCCGGCAGACTGTTCCAGAGACGGGGGCCGTAGTGCTGGAAAGATGCCTCGCCGTGAGTGTGTGTCCTGACTTTAGGGATGGTTAGGAGTCTGCTGCTGGAGGAGCGCAGGGGCCGGGAAGGTTCATAGGATAAAAGCAGTTCTGAAAGATAAGAAGGCCCAAGACCATCATGGTTCTCTCTGCGCTTTAAACAGAACCCTGAGACTATCAAAGAGCAGGTGCATTTATACGGAGACTTGATTACACACAGGTGCATTATATTTATCATCATCAGTCATTTAGGACAACATTGGATCATTCAAAGATCCTCACTGAACTTCTGGAGTGAGTTTGCTGCACTGAAAGTAAAGGGGCCGAATAATATTGCACACCCCTCTTTTCAGTTTTTTATTTGTTAAAAAAGTTAAAATTTTCCAATAAATGTTGTTCCACTTCACGATTGTGTCCCACTTGTTGTTGATTAATGACAAAAAATTAAAATTTTATATCTTTATGTTTGAAGCCTGAAATGTGGCGAAATGTTGAAAGGTTCAAGGGGGCCGAATACTTTCGCAAGGCACTGTATATACAAACCAGTCATGCCGCTTTTCCACAGTATCAGTACGGTACAGTACAGTACGCTTCAGCACGGTTATTTTGCGTTTCCACTAGTGGATGGTATGGGAGATTTAGGTACTTTTCCGTACTGCCTCAGCCGTGGTTCCATCCCCATAGTACCAGTGCCATGACGTCACGTCGGCCCACTGCCTTACACTGATTGGTCAACGAGTGTCGTCACTTGAAGCGACATCTGACCCTTTGGGAAAAACAACTCAACCGCCATCTTTAAAACCGGCTGCTCTGCTCGGCTCTGTTTCGGCTACATTACGTCCTCCTCACTCCAGAGAAATGGAATTGCACAGAAAGCCCCAAAAGTCCTGGTCCTGGTCGGAGGAAGAGGTCCACACGTTACTCTCTTCAGGCCAAAAGAGCTCTGGATTTGTGGCTATAGTCTGTGGTAATCCTGAAATAACTGGTTAGATACAAATCCCGTTAAAGCTCTCACTGAAATGTATTTACTGTGTAAATGTTCGATTGTCTGTTGTACACAGTGAGCTAGCTACATTTAGCTTAATTTAGCTATCGATAGCAGCTAAGCTAACGTCCTCCCTGTTATTACTGTGCTTTATCTCGTATTATCTGCAGTATCCACGTTGTCATTCTGTTTTGTGCTTGTATTTAAGTTGTTGTGTGTATATTTGTATGAGAAACCCTTCCCATAAGTGTGGAGATTACCATCGAGTAATGAGTGACCGGAGTATTCTCCTCATCTGGACCTGGTCCGGACCTGGTCTCACACATACCTACTTTTGACTTTCTAAACTGTTGGTTTTGCACTTTACTTTTGTTTTCAATAAATCTGTGATTGTATCAAGAATGTGTTTCAATCATTTATTATTATTGTAGCTGAGGTTTGGGTATCGATTGTTTGTCTGGTCTCGGAGTCTGCTGTAGTCCGGACCCGAGTCCACGTGAATTTAGTCTGGTCTAGTCTGCAGTACCGCGAGAATCCCCCGAGCACGTGAGTTCTTCAGCTCCAAGCTAGTAATACCCTATCCAGTTATTATAAAAGATCCATGACCAATAGCTATTACCAATTAATATGTTACTTTTTTATTTATTTGTTTATTTTCTTACGGACACAACAATAACATTGGACAAACCAGATGCATTGCTGCAAGTGTTAAGCACATGTGCTAGTTTTCAACACTAGTTCACAGGGGCTTTTACAGATAAAATACATTTCAAACAATTACAATAAAATGTGGACGTGAGAACAACTCTTGATCTTAGCACATGTTTGAGCTCTCTGCTGAAGATGGTCATGTTAGTCTGTAGTTTTAGTCCCTGTATTTCTTTATCACTGATACATTTGATAGTAACAGTATCTGTGGTGCACCGTGAAATAGAAAAGGCGACCTGCACGTTGGGCTTCTTATGGAAACATTTTTCTCTAAAATTTAATCTGTCAGGGTTTGTCTTGGTCCTGTCTGCAGTCACATAATTGTGTACATATGCATGGCAGCCATTAATATATTTGTTAAGTTGCTTGTATTGAAACGTCCAACCCGAATAGTTATTGTGACAGGCCTAGCTCTTGGAGCGCCCTTTTTTTGTGTCCTTCATCATCACGTCAAACATATTGTTCCAATGCAGATGCTGTTTTAATTATATGTAACAGTGCTGCCTCGGTTACTACAGCCGTATACCACACAAAAATACTGCATTGTATCTACGAAAGTCAGCAAAGTAAAGACTGTCAGCTGTGCAGATGCTACGCAGGCTAATGCTAATGCATTTCTTCCGTTCCTTATTAGCAATTTTCCTAAAAAACAACAATCGTTAGAGAAATACATTTTAACAAAATAGGTACTTCATAAGTTCCCCACTTGACGGGAGCAGTTTCCACAACTGTACACGCCATAGAAAAAGAGCATTTTGACTCAGTGAATTTTTACATTGTTCTTAACATGGAGATTAACTTCCTGTCCCTCGGAGCACTTTCGCGCCGCTGCGTGACGTCCGGTGCAACCCAGCAATTAAGATTTCAATATTGTAAAAAATGCATGAATGCTGCTAAAAAGGACGTATATTTGACTTGACTTTTTTTCTTTTCTAGGTCACCATGAAGCCCCCCGGGCTTTTGAAGATCGAGTTCACTTCCCTCCGCAGGGTTTTTATCCTCCGCAGGTGGTTCTCCCTCCGCAGGGTTTTTATCCTCTGCAGGTGGTTCTCCCTCCGCAGGGTTTTTATCCTCCACAGGGGGTTCTCCCTCCGCAGGGTTTCCATCCACCCTGCAGGTGGTTCTCCCTCCTCTGCAGGTGGTTCTCCCTCCGCAGGGTTTCCATCCCCTGCAGGTGGCCTTCCTTCCTCAGGATTTCTATCTCCCAGAGGTGGACGGCTATCCTCCGCAGGTGGACGTCTTTCTTCCGCAGGTGGACTTCTATCCTCCGCAGGTGGACTTCTATCCTCCGCAGGTGGACTTCTATCCTCCGCAGGTGGACGTCTTTCTTCCGCAGGTGGACTTCTATCCTCCGCAGGTGGACTTCTATCCTCCGCAGGTGGACGTCTATCCTCCGCAGGTGGACTTCTATCCTCCGCAGGTAGACTTCTATCCTCCGCAGGTGGACGTCTATCCTCCGCAGGTGGACGTCTTTCCTCCGCAGGTGGACTTCTATCCTCCGCAAGTGGACGTCTTTCCTCCGCAGGTGGACCTTGTGGATGTCCAGCCTCCCTCTTCTCCTCTATCTTCATCCCCTCCAGATTCTCCCTCCTTTCTTTGTCCTTCCCCAGCACCTTCCTCTCCTGATGTGGATCCCTCGTCCCCCTCTGCTTCTTGCTCTTCTGTTTTTTCTTCCACAGATTTCCAGAGCCCTGAGGAGTTCCTTGACTTCTTTGTCCAGACTCTGGATTCAGCTCCTGCCTCCCCCACTACTTCTCCTCAGGTTCCTCCTAGCTATGGTGTAGCTGCCCCTTCCCCACCTGTTTCTGCACCTCCTTCTCCTCGTTTCTCCTCCCCCTCATGCCGTTTCTCTCCCACTTCTTCCTCGGCCCCTTTTTTGTGTTCTTTTTCTTCCCCAGATTACCAGAGCTTAAAGAGTTCCTGGACTTTTCTCTGCAGACTCTGGATCCAGCTCCTGTCTCCCCCACTATTGCTCCTCTTCTTTTCCCTCCCATCTTTGGTGCAGCCATCCCCTCTTCTCCTGGCACTGCTCCTCCATCTCCCCTCCTTGCTTCCACCTCACACTCTTTCTCTCCCTCTCCAGATCCTGAGGCGTTTGTTTTAGGTCTAGAGCTTCCTAATCTCCCTTCAGTTCCTGTTCCAGGTTTCTGTGATCCAGGTGACTCAGTTCCTAACACTGCTTATCCCTCTTGTTCCCGCAAACGTAGCAGGGACGAGTGCACTGCTGAGAACAGCTCCAAGAGGCGGCGCTGCTCCTCTCTTGCCTCTTCTTCTCTGGTCTCCCCTGTTCCCTCTTTGTCCTCCCGCTCTCTTTCCTCCTAACCATCCCTGCCCCTCTCCACCCTACCCCTGTCCACAACCCTTCGTCCCTACCCCTCTCTTCCCTCCCCCTCTCCTCACTCCCCTTCTCCTTCCTGCCATCACCTCCCTCCTTTTTGCCACAAGACACATGGGAGACACACCAAACATGTGGAAGAAGGTGCTCTGGTCAGATGAAACCTAAATCGAACTTTTTGGCCACAATGCAAAACAATATGTTTGGCGTAAAAGCAACACAGCTCATCAGCCTGAACACACCATCCCCACTGTCAAACATGGTGGTGGCAGCATCATGGTTTGGGCCTGCTTTTCTTCAGCAGGGACAGCGAAGATGGCTAAAATTGATGGGAAGATGGATGGAGTCAAATACAGGACCATTCTGGAAGAAAACCTGTTGGAGTCTGCAAAAGACCTGAGAATGGGACGGAGATTTATCTTCCAACAGGACAATGATCCAAAACATAAAGCCAAATCTACAATGGAATGGTTCACAAATAGACGTATCCAGGTGTTAGAATGGCCAAGTCAAAGTCCAGACCTGAATCCAATCGAGAATCTGTGGAAAGAGCTGAAGACTGCTGTTCACAAACGCTCTCCATCCAACCTCACTGAGCTCGAGCTGTTTTGCAAGGAAGAATGGGAAAGAATTCCAGTCTCTCGATGTGCAAAACTGATAGAGACATACCCCAAGCGACTTGCAGCTGTAATTGCAGAAAAAGGTGGCACTACAAAGTATTAGCGCAAGGGGGCCGAATAATATTGCACGCCCCACTTTTCAGTTTTTTATTTGTTAAAAAGGTTTAAATTATCCAATAAATGTCGTTCCACTTCATGATTGTGTCCCACTTGTTGATTCTTGACAAAAAACTTTATTTTTATATCTTTATGTTTGAAGCCTGAAATGTGGCAAAATGTTGAAAGGTTCAAGGGGGCCGAATACTTTTGCAAGGCACTGTATAGTGGGGCAAAAACCTATTTGTCAGAGTCTTTATATCAACTTGAACTGAATGGATTCATTTGTATAATGTGCAGAATATAAGTGCTATGTCCCCCATCATGTCTATTTCCTGCTCTCTTAGTCTCCCTCTTGTGTCTTTCAGACTTGGTGTTTTTTTCTGGTGGGATCTCTGAACACCTGACTCCTACAATCAAGCTCTCAAGGTCTCACTGCCAGATTGTTATCTGGAGTCTTGCCACGTCCCCACCTGCTTCGAATCCTCAGTCATTGTTCCCTGTCCCCAAGAAGACCTGGATCACTGGACTTACAGACCCGTGGCTCTGACATCTGTAGTTATGAAGTCATTTGAGCGCCTGGTCCTCCCCCACTTCGAGTCCTTCACCAAAAGATCTGTAGGCGACGCCATTAACCTGGCCCTCCACCACATCCTACAGCACCTGGATTCCCCGGGGACCTGCGCCAGGATCCTGTTTGTGGACTTCAGCTCTGCCTTCAACACCATCCTGCCATCCCTGCTCCAAGACAAGCTCTCCCAGCTCAACGTGTCCGATGTGTTCTTTCTCCCCTGCTCTTCTCCCTGTACACCAACCACTGCACCTCCTTGAAGCTCATGAAGTTTGTGGACAACACCATCTCCAACAACGATAAGTCCGCATATAGGAAGGAGGTGGACCGGCTGGTGTCCTACAGGAGGGAGGTGGACCAGCTGGTCTCCTAGTGTCTCCTACAGGAGGTGTCCTGGTGCAGTGGTAACAACCTGGAGCTGAACGCCCAGAAGACAGTGGAGTTGATTTCTGAACTTCACGGAAGAGCACAGTCCCCCTACCCCTCCACCCCTGCCCTCCCTGATACAGTAGACTCCCCCATCAACTCTCTCCCCCCCGGCCTCCCTGATGGACTCCCCCATCTCCTCTGTGGAGTCATTTCGTTTCCTGGGCACCACCATCTCCCAGGACCTCAAGTGGGAGCCGACCATCAGCTCCTCATCAAGAAGGCCCAGTAGAGGATGTACTTCCTGCGGCAGACTACAGCGCATTGTGCGCTCTGCAGAGAAAGTGATTGGCCACAGCCTCCCATCGCTGCAGGACCTCTACAACGCCCGAGCTTGAGGCCGTGCTGGTCGTATCACTGCTGACCCTTCTTATCAGCACATGGACTGTTCCAACCACTCCCGTCTCACCTGCACATGGACTGTTCCAACCACTCCCCTCAGGCAGGAGACTACGGTCCATTTATACCAGAACCCCTCCCCTCATAAGAACAGTTTCTTCCCCTCTGCTGTTTGTTTCTTGAACACTTCATAACCTTGTCCCTCACTGCCCGTTACAAAGCCACCTTACTGCCCTTTACAAAGGCACCTTACTGGCCTTTACAAAGCCACCTTACTGCCCTTTGCAAAGCCACCTTACTGCCCTTTACAAAGGCACCTCTCTGCCCGTCCGAGTGCACTTGTATATAGTTATAATCATAATACTTTACTTTTAACTCCTATCTTAGAAAGAGCTATACTTTAGAGATGTTTAGAAATGTTTTATTATGTCTTATTCTTCTCTACTTTTGACTTGATTGCACCGAGAGCCAAAGCCATTTTCTAGTCTGTGACTTCCTGTTACTAACATGGCAATAAAAATAATTCTGAGTCTGATTGTTCCGTCCCTTCGACTCTCTTCAGTGGCACAGACCTATCTTTAGCATGAATCTAGTGAAACCTCAAACTTTAGCTTGTGTTAATATTTTGTTCCTTCTTCATTCAAATGGTCTTTTTTCCCAAACCACCTGCTCCGGAGACCCACCAGCCAATCCAATCCAAGCACTCAATAAATGTTTTCCCTTTGTTCTAACCTGCAGTATTTTCTTTGGGGTCCTATTATGAACCTTTATTTCAGACTCAAATTCAATGGGTCCACATTCTGAAAGAAAACTAATGGAAAATACAATATATAGAATCAGTCCAAACAGGTCTATAGGTGATGGAAGAGTGTTTCAGCCGCTTTCTCAGAGCAGAGCTGCAGTGAACTTTTGACTTAGTTGTATTTATTTTTTCATTTTTCCACAGTTTTATTACATGCAGGAAATGTTAATGTGATTCAAATTAACAGTACATGGAGAGCTTTACAACTGATGAAGAGTGTGTAAAATACTGATTACTGATTAAAGTATGCCTCCAGATCCATATTGTGTCATTAATAATTCACAGATACCCCTAAAAAGCAAAGAATTGTGTTTTTGATAACCGTGTGCCACAACTTCTGACTGCTGAGCCGCGACTCACAGTGCTTGCCCTTTCTGCAGAGGGATTTGCCAATAATAAAAATAAATACCAATATTGTTTTGATTCCAATTCCAAGTACCAATGGCTATTACCAATTATTATGTAAATTTTTTAGTTATTTATTTAATATGGACATAACAATAACATTGGACAAACCAGATGCATTTGATAGTTTTCAACACTAGTCCACAGGGTTTTTTTTACAGATAAAATACATTTCAAACAATTACAATAAAATGTGGACGTGAGAACAACTCTCGATCATCTTCTTAGCACATGTTTGAGCTCTCTGCTGAAGATGGTCATGTTAGTCTGTAGTTTTAGTCGCTGTATTTCTTTATCACTTATAAATTTGATAGTAACAGTATCTGTGGTGCACCGTGAAATAGAAAATGCCACCTGCACGTTGGGCTTCTTATGGAAACTTTTCTCTCTAAAATTGAATCTGCCAGGGTTTGTCTTGGTCCTGTCTGCAGTCACTTAAGATATTTGGGCCAAAAAAAATTTCTCTACTGGAGCTATCCAAAATGGCCGCGAGTGGTCCCTCCCATAGACATATATAGAATAGACGCCGCATTGGTTGCTCGGGCACGAGAAATACGGCCGCCATCTTGGACCGGTCATCATACAGCGCGATGCCTGAACACTGTGCGGCGTATGGCTGTCAAAATAGGCGGACTATTCAAAACAGGGCTCGTGGGATTACTTTTCACAAGTAAGATTTAACATTATTATTGGTTGTACTAGTTTGTTAATGGAATATTACTGAATTGTATTTATGTCACCAACGAAATCAGATACAGAACATCTATTGAATAGCAAACAAGCTAACTTACAGCAGCTTTGGTTCATTATCAAAATGCGAGTTTTGTTGAAGAGATGTTCTATATTTGAAGGAGGAAAATGGGAAGAAGTAATTAGGAATAATAGGAATTATGGTAATATATATTATATATATATTATTTTGTTTTATTCATGTATTTGCATTTTGAAGGTTTCCCAGAGACAGAAAATGGTAGGAAAGAAGTGGGAAGTGGCTATGAGGAGGGAAGGATTCACTGCAAGTGATTCATCCGTGCTTTGCAGTGAGCATTTTAAGCAGGAAGATTTGGACAGGACAGGTCAGATTATCCGACTCAGAGATGGTGTTGTTCCATCCATCTTCAGCTTCCCGGTTCATCTCCAAAGAGTAGGTTTATCACCATAAGGCTTTTGTCTCTTCAAATTGTTTTGTATTCAGTCCCACACAAGTGTCATACCAGTAAGTATGCAAACATGATGCTCATTTATAAAAAAAATTTTCAATGTTCAGTTGCAACTGTTTTTTGTTGGAATTGTCTTGTATTCAGTGTGTTTCAGGTCCCACATGCTTCTAAATGGTATGTATTACACCACATCAAGTTTTTGCAGGTGTCAGAAGGATGGTATGTACGTTATTATTATGTTCTCTTGCTTCAATGTCTTTCAATCGGCAGTTTTGTTTCTATTTTAATTATCCTATATTCCGTGTGTCTCAGGTATAGATGTTTCTAAATGGTATGTATTACACAAAATGCATGTAGGTGTCAAAATGGTATGTATTGCATGTGTTCTTGTTCACAAGTTTTCCCAGTTCAAGAATTGGTTATTACACATTACTGATGGATATGATGGAAAAATCACTTTACTGCTTTGAATGAACATGAATGTTTTGCCATGATCAGCAGAATCATTTTTTTTTCTTTTGCAGATATTTGTCTGTCATTGGCTTTGTCATTAACATCGACACGTTGA